CAGCCTTTCATTGATTCCTGCGTGAGCCATGCGGAAGCGCTGCCACAGCGACTTGTGCAAGGAGGTCTGCAGTGAGCCCGGAGGGTGCAGTGGGCAAGAGAGGAGGAGTTAGCATAGCGATAGGGTAGAGGCAGCCATAGCTGCCATAGCTGTAGTTAGTGTGAAGTGTGTGTGTGTATGTGTGAGTGTTCAAAGTGACGTGTGTGGGATATCCAGGGTGATCCAGTGTATGTGAGCAGTGAGTTGATTGGGCGCTGAGTCGCCATAGCCAGTTGCAAGTGAACTCTTATCTGGAAGCCATATCTCTGAGTATTGAGTGGGCGCTGGTCGCCTGTTTGCTGCGCTGCTGTTTACATGCATGAAAAGCGTGAATGAGACGAGTCTGATTGCAACTTCTACCAACCCCCCATCTTTCACCCAGGAAGAAGTCAACACCATCCATCTCCTCAGGATTGAGCGCGGGAACTGCCAGGCTCACGCATCTTCTTCCACCTTGCCCCCTCGCTTAACAAAGCTCACTCCGGAGGAACGTGCCTACCTCCAAACCAACAATGGCTGTTTCTGGTGTCGTTAGTTGGGCCACCAGCAAACCAGCTGCCTCAACGCTCGCCAATTCACTCGATGGGCTCCCCGCTCCACGGGACCTCGGACCGTCGTATCCGCCACCCCACCCTCCGCGACATCGGGACCCTCCCACACATGAACACCGTTCCCTTGCCTCGCGCGACCCCGCCCCGGCATTGACAACTAGTCAGTCGGCCCCTCTATTGGCATTGACGATCTGTCTGCCACCCCCACCTTCGGTGACACATACTACACTGGATGACACTCAGGCATCGCAGTTTACTCCGGCTGCCCGCCTCCCGACGACGTCTCTCACCCAGTCGGTCGAGCTCATCACTCGCACGTGTTCCTCTACCCTTCTCCCTAATCCCTCTCACATCACCTTCTCCGATGTTGCTGAGGAACAAGCGCGACACAACCGGCTTGTTAGACTAGGCACTGAACAGCGCCACCTCAACAACATGATCTCCGCCGCTTGTGCCAGAACTGTCCAGTTCGAGCTCAAGTTCATATCCATCTCCCTTGGCGCATCGACAATGAAGTTTTGGGCCCTCCTCGATGGCGGGGCTAACGATAACTTCATTACCGACGCCTGTGTCCGCAAAGCCGGTATCCCCTCAACCGGCTATGACTTCCTGATCACCGTTCGCTTAGGGGACAAAGACTCATTCGTCATCGTCGATCGCACAGTTCCCGAGGTCACCATGATTGTCGGCTCCCTCCGCAGTCAGATCTCCTTCGACGTCATGCACCTCATGTGCGACGTCGTCCTGGGAACTATCTGGATTGATCGCTACGTGCCCTACTCTTTCTACCCCTCTTTCGCCCGCCTCTCTTCTACTCCGAACTCTACCCTTGACATCCCTTACATTCTTCCCCTTACCACCCCACCCCCCGTCTCCCGCCACCAATTCCTCCACATGTCTCGCCAACACCCTCACTCCACCTACTATTGCTTCGTCATCGACCCCGAGCGTCCTGAGGACTTGATTCCAACGGACAAACACGACCAAGGCCCCCCATCCAACCCTCGCATCACCTCTCTCCTCTCATAATTCAAGGACGTCTTCCCCGAGTCCTTGCCTGCCAGCTTGCCACCCGATTGAGGTGTATCTCACACCATCGACCTCGAACCCGACCATTCTCCTCCTTGCCGCCCTCCGTACCAGCTGTTCATCCCCGAGGCCGAAGAGATGAAGTGCCAGCTCAATGAACTCGTTGAAAAAGGATTCATTAAGCCTAGCTCATCCCCCTTCGGAACCAGTTGTCTCTTCGTAAAAAAGGGCGGCACCTAGGAGCTCCTCATGTGCACAAACTACCGCGTCTTGAACCGGATCACGATCAAGAATAAGTATCCACTCTCCGGATATATGAACTTCAAGATCGCCTCCGCGAAGCCAAATACTTCACCAAGATCGACCTCTGTAGTGGCTTCCACCAGATCCGTATTTACGGGGAAGATACCCATAAGACCGCCTTCCGCTCTCGCTTTGGGCATTACGAGTTCCTAGTGATGCCTTTCAGCCTCACAAATGCCCCAGCGACCTTCCAGTCCACCATGAGCCACATCTTCCGTGATCTCCTCGAAGTTTGTGTCGTGATCTACCTCAATGACATCCTTGTCTTCAGTTCCACCTTCGAGTTCCACCTTCAACACATCGTGAAGGTACTTTCCATCCTCCGCGAGCAAAAGTTCTATGCTAAGCTTAGCAAATGCACTTTGGCCACTTCGATCGTGGACTACCATGGCTACATTGTCTCTGCTGATGGTATCCGCATGGACCCCTCGAAGGTCGCCGCTCTCGTCAAGTTCCCACCTCCCACCACCTTGCTCCAACTTCGGTCATTCATTGGACTTGCTAACTACTACCGCCCCTTCATCCAAAACTTTCCCGACACCGCCTATTGCAATCAGACTCGTTCTCAAACACACTTTTCATGCATGTAAACAGCAACGCAGCATACTGGCGAAATGCGCCCACTCAAAACTCAGATGTATGGCTTTCAAATACGAGTTCACTCTCAATTGGCTATGGCGACTTCAACGCCCAAACATCTCACTGTTCACATACACTGGATCACCCTGGATATCCCACACGCATCACTCTAACACTCGAACACACACACACACTCACTACTAACTACAGCTATGSCAGTTGTCGCTGCATCTACCCTATCRCTATGCTAACTCCCTCTCTCTAGYYCACTGCGTCCTCCGGGCTCATCTGCAGACCTCCTTGCACAAGTCGCTGTGGCAGCGCTTCCGCATGGCTCACGCAGGAATCAAAATGGCTGGGCGCTGCCTCTTGATTTATACTTCAGAAACTCGTTGGTCTGCCCTTTGCCATCGGCCCTTGGTGCTTACAGTCCCCCTGTGGTACTTGCTGGACCGGACTGGGACTGACTGGACCTTCCGTTGACTGACTGTGGACTC